AATAAAATAATAAAGTATCATTAGCTTATATCCTTACATATCAAATTTTCTCATTTACTTAACAATATTTCATTAATTCTTCTTATTTACTTATTTCAATTATTCTTGAATAATAATTTTTCAGATAATTTTCAATAGATAATCTCGCAACGTTCAACTAAAAAATATAATAAAGTATCATTAGCTTATATCCTTACATATCAAATTTTCTCATTTACTTAACAATATTTCATTAATTCTTCTTATTTACTTATTTCAATTATACTTGAATAATAATTTTTCAGATAATTTTCAATAGATAATCTCGCAACGTTCAATTAAAAATATTTCTCGATTAACGGGTCGATGGTTGATCAATATTGTTAAAGATAAAGATCACGGAGGAATTTTATTTTCAATTGTGGCTGTATCATTATTTCTATTTCGAATCTTTTTCAGGTGAAACGTTACCGGGAATCTTGGTGGGTCCCTGGTCGCCCTCTTTCGGGAAAACGATCCTCGTTCCTCGGAGAATACCCGGTTTAATAGGTATCGTTAGGATCTTCTCTTTCGTCACTGTCCTGGATTTATCGTCCTCCACCAAGACCAATCTCTGTATCTTCATTTTCTTGATTCCTCCGCGGAAGACCTGCTCATGTTTACAAGACTCTAACAGGGTATACACGTAACAACTAAACAATATAACAAACGCGCCATATAAGTATAGCAGACCCCTAAAGAATTCCACATGTTACAGCGATTTCGCGTTTACGAGTCTCGCGTTAACACTAGATTTACGGAGCTCGTCAATCTGACGGATACTGAATGTCTTAAAAATGATTTAGCAATTACGCGAATACGCATTCCAATACTCTAGTTTCCACAATTTTCGCGACCTATATAAACGAACACAGTCTTCTAAAACCAATACAATAAAGTGTAGAACAAACGTCTGTAGATCTAGTGTTAAATTCCCTTTTCTATAGTAGTCTAACTTCTTCCTCTACCTGTACTACGTTCTCAAGAAGAATCCCATTGTTATATTTATTTTTCAATCATCTTTTAACCCTTTACACTCGAGCGGCGCCTTTCAATCGCCATTTGATTTGACCGAACAAAATGATCAAATTTAGAATTCACTATCAAATTTTATATAATGCATCGACACGTAGAACATCGAAATAAACTAGTTCTGTCACTTAATTTATACAAGGTATTTCTTTGTTAGTTGTAAAACATATCATTGATATTTCATTAGAAAATAATGAATATTTGTTGAGAAAAATATTCTCGAGTGCAAAGGGTTAATCACGTTACCGTAGATTCTACAGTGCACAAATCAACAGAGCAGAAGGCGAGACAAAAAGAGTATAAAAAGGAATTGCTTTCAGATTGTTCTAAAGCGATCCGGAAAGGTGGGAACTTAGATAATTCACGGTACGACGAAAAGAATATCCGGTGTCTCTAGAATATCGATTAACCGGTGAAATGCTTAAACAGCTGTTACGCTCGAGAGCCGGTAACGAGGATATCAAAGGAATGATGTTATAGCTCGGTATTGGTATAGTCAATAATCGAGTAGTAAAAACAAGTGGGTAGATGGTTGGCAGCGATGATTACCATGTCGCGTCTACGGTGATTAACACTGTGCAAAAGGAGAACTATAAATAAGTAGAACGTCGATATAATACCTCGAATAGGGTTAGGTACAAGGTTTTTATCAGGGGCTCTTCCTTGCGCTTCAAACCGCGTCCCTCGGGAAATTCCAGCAAAGTCGAAGGCTGCGTTAGTACATGGAGCAGATCAGCATAAGGACTGTCGGTTCCGAAGAATTCCCTAAAGAGGTGCCGATAGATCGGATCGTAAATATTCAAAGTTTTTAAGTGGCTGTTAAGCTTAGCCAGGTGTTGAGCTTACGGTTCCACTTACTCGGATTATAATAACTGAAGTTAGCATCAGCGTATAATAAAAAGTGAACGTAATATCCTTCTCACCGTTCCCACGGTTCCGGTTAACGGATCGAGGGGATCATTTGTTTAATACTAGAACTACTGTACTAGTTAACATGATCGGTTTCAATTTTATCGTTCCGTAGTTATTAATGTCTTAGACGCATTGAATATTCGAAATGATCTTGGAAATAAATAGTTTCACTTGAATGATATAATGAGTGTTACATTTAATTAAATGCTCGGTAGTTCTAGTGTTGTTTGTTAGACGTTTTTTGAAGGAAGAGAAATGATTTTATTATACAATATAAATTATTGATAAGAATACATGGTAGAATAGAATAGAATAAATGTGTCTGAGACTTTGCGTAGTTTAAACATTCTATTTAAACTGAATCAAACGTTTTAACAATCTTTGCCATAATTCGTTTAGAAGCTCAACTTAACAAATGTTTGGGAATTTGATAAGATCTAATTTTTGATATTAATCAATAAATTTAATATTGATTAATGCACTTTTCAAGGTTCTGCTTATTTAGCAGATCCATGTTTGTATTCAATTTTATAAACGTTTAATCATATACGCTTTTGTAGAAGATTCCTGTGGGTACCTGTAAGTCCTCATCGGTTCCCCGTGATAAACGTAGGGTTCAATGAATCCTCCTGCATTCGGCACGCCATTTTTAAGGCCTTCCTCCCCGAATTGATCGTATATGGCCCTCCTAAGGGGATCCGAGAGCACGTCGTACGCTTCGGCTACTAAGGCGAAAATCGTCGCGAAGCTTTCATCCTTCGTTCCTTTAGGGTTGTACCGTATAGCCAACCGGCGAAATCTGAAAATGTGTATGTAACAATGCAGCTTCGATTTTATTTCTACCAGAAGCGTACAACAATCGAATACATCAAACAATCTCTGGGAACTTTCTATGATTACAGAAATATTGATACGACAAATATTTTTATTCGACGTCAGTTTTCTCAGTGTAATTGTTAAGCAATTCAGATTTCCATGCATTCAAAATCAATGCAAAGATGTATTAGGATAATGAAAGAATAATAAAAAAAAGAATCATCAGCGAAGATTAAAAAGAAATTTCTGTATTGTCTCTCGAATGTTTCAGCGATTCGAATACGCTTTTTCCACGATGCCGGTTCACGCGGAAGGGACTGTGAAAACAGGAATTTGCATAAACATCCGCGGCGCAGCAATAAAGTCTTCGCGTCACCTAGACGGAAGAGAGTGTTCACTGTAGCACATAAAAACTTCTGAAGCGAAATAACGTTCTGGGTAAGAATTGGATAAATCGATTAACTCCGCAAAGGAAAAGTAGAGAAACGTGATGCAATAGTTATATATTGATTTTGAAAATTTCCCTTTAAAATCGTATAATCATGAAAAAATCTATTTTACTTTTTAATTACAGGTACAGCTCCAATCCAACGAATACGTGAAATGCATGAAACAGTAAACAGAATGCCTTTCGTATAGCTTCTAAATATGTTGTATAATCATTTCAGAAGACAGCACATTAATTGTATTAATTTTTCTATCTGGATTTCACTGCATAGGCTTCAGAGCGAATCATTATTGTCAATGATTGCTGCGAGCGGGGCGCACGGATTGCGACGGTTGATACCAGTCAATTTTTAGGCGGCAAGAGGTTGTCCCGCGTGGAGAAAGCGTCGCGCGACAGAAGCGGAAGCGGAGGAACGTCTCGCAACGCGGGGGGATCGATAAAGGAAGCGATGTAGGAGGGCACGCCGATGGGGCAACCGAGAAGATCTCACTTACGCCTGCCTGATCTCCAAATCGTCGGAATTCTTTTTCAACGAGAGCACGCCGTAATAATCTATGCCGCGCATCACGTGCGGCCAGTCCTCCTCCTCGCAGGACATTTCGCAGGAATTTTGCATTTCGCAATTCACTCTGGCGCGGATAAAAAGAATTTTTACTGTGACCGTGTTAATTGCAAACGCGAATATTTCGTTAGCCAGTTAACTGCCTTAACGGATTGACTATTAACGAAATTACCGCGCTAGTGGAACGAACAGTTAACAGGTGAGCTTCAAACTGTAAATGACGCGGATGCGGTTAAGTCCGGAAGAAAAATTGAAGAGAATTAATGTGATTTAATAACTGAAAAGAATATTATTTGTTGCGTTCGAATGTATAGAAACTAGAATATATAAAAAATCCGCTTAACCGCATCGGCTTCTGAGCGACTCGAATGATACTAATTCTTTCAACGATGAATTATTTATTTTTTTATCATTTTTTGTTGTGTTTCGTGGGAATATAGCGATGAGTTATATTATATTATTTATGAAATGGTATGAAATGAAATGATGAAAGGATTAAAAGTAACGTATAATTGAGTAGGTTGACTACGTCGTCGGTGTTTAGTTAGAGAATGACGTAAAATGAACGTGTACGTTACCGATCTCCAATGTGTTAAGGAAGGTTCGGTTGAAGAATGTTCTGTGTAAGCTTGATCCAGCGATTATTCGTTTGTCATGCGTGGCTAATGTCAGGACGGAGAAGTTCTAAGAGAATTAACAGGAAAAGAAAAGGAAGAGAATCGGCGGATCGCCGTTTCAAGTGTTTTCAACAACCAACGCGCCCTTCTCGACAACGAAATAATAGCAACATTCGTATGTTAGTTCTCGTTGTTATTAGATCGGCTTGCGTCCTGTATTTATTGTTAACGACGACGCGATAATTCGTTAACTCGTCGGTCGATCGTGTGAACCGGAGAATTATCATGGAAGCCTCCGGATTGATTCTGAATCTTGTTCGGAAAGGTGAGGCCCGTTAGCAACAATTTTCTCGTGTTTCTTGGTGTTATTATTGCCTCGATTCTCGGTTACGAAAACGCATTGTAAGGCGAATATCACGGAACATGGAATTGCAATTGATTCTTCACCAAAGCTTTCATCACATTTCTTTCAAACGTATTGCGAATACATCATTCTATACATTCATTGTAATGTATTAACATTATCCAATTGTAGTCTTGCTTAAAATTGACTACTTCAATGAAATACTTGACATCATTTGCTTTTCCTAGAATATTCACAAGAAATCAACTCGCAAAAAGAAACTATATCTCATGAATCTATATAAATTAATCGTTTACATCTTAGAAATCAAACGAATCTCAAACGAAATGAACGCAAGGAAGTTACTAAAGATTAGTAAATCGGTTGAATATCTCAAAATATATTCTTCCAAAAAGTTGTCACCTCGACAACTTGCGAAAACCGAAACTCCACGAACTCAACTCGACAACTCGATTCCAATATGAATAGCAATTCACTCTCACGCAGGGAACTAAGAAAGCATCCATAATTCAATGTCATCGTTTAATTTCAGCGGCGATAAAGGCAGAAGCTAACCACAAGCGTTCGACGAGTGCCGACTACATTCCTCCGTCTCCTGGTCACCGAACATCCAGCAAGAAATCTGGCTGTCCTCGCGATGAAATCGAGGAGCCACGCGAGGCTCGCGAGAACGAGGAAACCGATGGAATATTCAAAGTGTCTTTGAGGGCGGCCGATGAAGACTCCGCGAGCGATAAGGAGAACAGGTCAACGAAGAAGATCCGCGCGGAGTCGGGCCAGAGCAGCGGCGAGCAGCGGGAAAAGAGCGACGAGCAGGGGAAAATCTTTGTACTGCAGCAACTCGGTCGATCGCAGTTACGCCCGGAAGGATTCCCAGCTTTCCTTTGCATCGACGGCCGGCTCACCGACACGAACGGAGTTAAACGAAAAATTCCGAGGCCGGCGAACGCGTTCATGCTCTTCGCCAACGAGTGGCGGAAGAAGCTCGCCGCCGAGAATCCTCGGGAATCCAACAAGGACATCAGCGTCAGGTGTCGTAACCTGGCTTCTCTTTAACCTCTCCTGCTCCGATGGCCACGTAATTTAATGCATAGAAAATTATAGAATTTAACCCTAGATTTACGGAACCCGTCAGTTCGACGGACATTAACCCTTTGCACTCGCGAGGTGACTCTCAGTCACCAATTGATTTGATGTGGTAAATGATAAAGTTTGATGTTTAATATTGAACTTTGTATGCATCACTGTGTAATATCAAAGTAAAGTACTTTTGTCATTTAATTTATCGATTGAATTAGTTACATTTGCAATAAACATCGTTTATATTTTATCAAAGAGTGTTGAAGAGTGTATTCGGAAGACTAAGTCGTAAACGAATGATTTAATTTACTTTATAATGCTGTGTTCTTGAAAGATTAACTTCTGCTATCTACATAGACAGATGAGATATCTATATAGGATCGATAAACTAAAGTGTAGAATAAGTGTCCGTAAATCTAGTGTGAATATTTAACGCTTATCACTCCAGCCGACAGAAACCCGTTAAAATAAAAGATAGATAATTATATGCACGAGTAAATGAAATAAATCGTGCTGGAGGACTGATTGTATTATGAATTTCAAGTGCAGTATCGTTTGTTCTCTACTAAATTATTATTCTGTGCTGGATTTATTATTAATTTCGAGTGAAAGTATAGCGTATCATTCTTTCTATGCTAAATTCTCTAAGACTGTTTAAGCTATTAGTTGATAATACAGATTTATTATGCAAACTTTTGATTATGGTGTTTCCTATGCAGATTGGGCATCCTGTGGAAGAACATGGCGAAGGACGTGAAGGAGAAGTATTTCGCTCTGGCGCGGAAAGTGGACGCAGAGCACAAGAGGAAGTACCCCGGTACGCCTATAGTTCTCTTCGAACCCGATATGACCCCGTTCTCGCGTTTGTAGAGGCTCGCCGAAGTTTATCGATATGCATGAATGTTCACGGCGTGCGTTCGGTAGGTACCTACACGCTGGCTACTCGTGCATATCCTTAGAACCACGCCGAACGAGCGAAATCTGCACCCTGATAAAAATCCTCCGACCGCAACACACTCTTATTCTTCTTATTCTTAAGTGGACTGCGGATTTTACGCAATTACAGCCCGCGCGAGCGAACGAGCGAGCGAATGGAATAAAACAAACGCCGCGATAAAATTTCATCAAGCTTTTTTTCGGTTTCCACCAGCTCCCGTGTATCCTCTCGCGAAGAAAACATATTTCTTTTTTGCGTTCATCCATGAAACTTGTCTAGAACCCCGCGAATTCAGAGGAATATCCGCAGTTCACCGGATTGTTTTACTTCGTTCTAAAAACTCTACAAATTTGGCAGAGTTCCAGAGTTTCCGGGAAACTATCGTATAAACATTTAACATTATTTAAACGCGTAGTCTCGTCGATTAAAAGCACAGTTGTTATTTCGGTATTTTCGATAATTACACATTCACGAATTCTCTACGAGATTATCTGAATTTTGACGAACTCACACCAATGGATAAGTCCTCGTTGCGCAAATTCCAAAATCTCTTGGGAAATCTCCAATTTTAAAAGAACACCATCAGAGTAATCTCAAAGTTGTGTTCGATATGAAAGTAACAGCGGAAGACAGGAAAGAGACGATCAATGGCATAGAGTGTTGAAGCCAGCCGTGCCGAAAGAATTCTCATCCAAACTTCCAAAAAATCATTCAGAACGTTAGATATCTATTCCGAAAGTGTCAGAACCATTTCAAAATTTCCAATCTGAAAGGAAAACAATCACAGCAATCTCAAAGTTCCATCGAATACAAAAATAACAGCAGGAGACAGGAAGCTAACCGTGCCGAAAGAACTCTCATCCGAATTTCCAAAAAATCATCCAGAATGTTACGTATCTATTCCGAAAATTCCAAAATCTCCAATACCAAAGAGAAACAATCGTAGCAATCTCAAAGTTCCATCGAATACAAAAATAACAACAGAAGACAGAAAGCGAACCGTGCCGAAAGTACTCCCATCATCCGAATTTCTAACAAATCATCCAGAATGTTACGTATCTGTTCCGAAAATTTCAACATCTCCAATATCAAAGGAAAACAATCACAGCAATCTCAAAGTTCCATCGAATACAAAAATAACAGCAGAAGACAGGAGAGATACGATCAATGGCACAGAGGGTTGAAGCGAACCGTGCCGCGAAAAAATTCTACTGCACACCCCGTGCACAGGGTGGTGTCGTTCGCGAATAAATCGCGGGCTGCGGGCGCCGGCCGGTGTAATTGGGCCGGTTCGACGATCGACGGTGATCTCCGGGTATTAAGAGCGCGGTTCTATGGATTTTAGAGCGGTTCCGCGGGGGGTTAGCCTGCCTGGCCCCGCGGAGGACATTTAGCCGCGTGAATGCTCGGTAACGCGCCGGGGATACGTGAGGAATAATCGCGCTTGTCGGTGGGTGTAGGTAGTAGGTAGGTAGGTAGAGCGCGGTCGTGTATCGGGCAGGTTCCTAGAGTCGCGTCGCAATCAATACCTCCGGTCTCTACTGTTCCCTCCCGCGCCGTTCCCCGTCACTCACCCGAGAATATTTCTCCGCTTGCCACCCTGTGCCCTGTACCTCGACCCGCAAAACTCGTATCGCTCTGCCATCCCACCCACAAATCGACGAGCTGTAATCGCATTTTAGCTCCCCCGTGATCGGTCCTCCTCTACCCCCTTCTTTTCTTTCTCTCCATACCTGGCCCCTCCTGGCTAATTACGGATTTAACTGTGAAAGAAAAGACGAAAAAAAGGAACGCGCAAGAATTCATCCCCTGTTCCCGGGGTTAAAGGGTTTCGAGTTATCAGGAATCGAGGGGGAAGATCCGACGAGTTGATTTCAGTTGATTTCTTTTATTTTTTCTTGATTATTCAATCGATTGATCTTGGTTTCAGGCAATGGCTTGTAAAGAGTTGTATACTTTGAGGGATGCTTTTTGGACTTCGAGGGTAAGTTGTGTTGGAAATGTATCTTCTTATGGGTTAGAGAGTTTTGAGTTGTGAGAGGGATGATTT